GCTTCTCCTTAGCATGGGCTGGTGCCACTTGGAAACTGGGCTTCTAGGTGTGAGGAGTGGCTTCTCATACCCTTGTCCTTGGCCATATTGGGAGAAACAAAATTAATGAAACATTTGTTCCTTTGCTTCCTCCACCCCAGTGGGAAGGTTTCCCTCCATTGCTCTGATGCAGTGCTGAGTTCTGCCATTAGTTGCTCTTTTGAGTTTAAGGTTTTGGTTGCTAAAGGCCCTTGAAGATCAGAGTCCCCCACCAGGAAGGTAGGTAGGTAGGTGATTCCCATCAAGTTATCAGCTTAGTGACTTATCACTTAGTGGGGAGGGGGAGGGTGGAGAGCCAGAGATGATGTTGGGAAGTGGGAAAAATGTGATATACAACTTTTGCAAATCCAGAGGCTCTCAAGGAAGCCTAGGATGTGGTCCTAAAGGGCTGAATCTGGCTGCTGGATACCAGAAACCCTGAGCTGTGGCCTGGCCCTGGCCCTGCCTCCTTTGCTGTGTGCCTTTGGCCAGTGGCACAGCCTCTCTGGCCTCCATGACCCCTCAGCACAATGACTATTCAGATCCCTTCCCTTCTACCTTGACCTATATGATGCGGGTTCCCAGGAGTAGAGAGGCTGCAGGCTAATTCCTTGGCCCCACGTGGGCCTTCCCTCTTATCTCTGCCAGCTGCATGGTAGACGAGGGTGTGAGGTGGGCCTGGTGATGAAAGATGAGGTGCAGCTGTGGGAGGAGGCTCCTGCCAGATGTGGCTGGGTCCCCATCCAGAGATGGGTTGGCTCCTGCCTCATGCCTGGGCCTCCCTGGCTGCCTGACTCAGGAATTTCCTCAGGTGTCTATATTCCTGCCATTCTCAGAGCCTGCCTCAATGCCCACTTTCAAAGGACTCCTTGAGGTTAGCATTCAAGACCTGTTGGGTCAGTGGGTCAAGTTGGAAGGCTGTCCTTGCCCAGACCAGACCATGGGCCCTACCCCTTTTTGCTCCCTTCAGGGACAACAATATCCGCCACCATTCCAGCCTCCACTCAACCCTCCCCTTGGGCTGCCCTCTTTCACAAGCAATGAAGATATGGGGAAAGCAATGACTAGATTCTAGGGACAGCACCCAGAGAGTATGAGAAAAGGAATGATGTTCCACTAGGCAGGCCTGCTTGAGGAGAACTCACCCTATAGAAGTCCAGACGTCCCAGTCTGTTGATCCCTGGGACAGTGGTGGGAGGGTGGGGGGCACAAGAGCAATCAGCTCTGATTTGTTCCAACAGGATCAGAGCCCCATGGATATCCCAATTTGGGGGTTATGACTAGGGAAGATTGCGTCTCACACCCTGCCATCTTCTTGACCCTTATCCTGGCAGGGCCTGGGCCAGGGCCTTGCTGGTCCTATCACTGTTAGGAGAGTGGGGACTCAGAGAGGGCCATGAAGTCTGGCTGGGTATGGGGCCGCCTGAATGTGCCCTTCCTTGGTCTACAAAGAGCAAGGATTGGCTCAGAATCACATGGGGATGGGGGAAAGGATCTTGTGCCTGGCTGCCTCTGGGGCCATGCCTGCCTATGTGCCCTTAGCCCCCTCCCCTGCCCGAACCCTTGGTTATTCTGGGAGCTTTTAGCTACCACTTAGTCAGCCACTAATGCGTCAGGCTGGGGAGTGAGGGGGGAGACACGGTGCCAGACGGTGCTCCTTTTAGACATCCAGGATGGGAAGCAGAGGGAGCTGGGCAGGCAGGGGAGTGGGGAGGTAGGGGTGCTGGAGGAAGGGAGGCTTTCCAGGTCCTGGCCCTGCTCCTAGGGAGGAGGGGCAGCACTGGAGACTGATGGGTAGTGGTCAATGTATCCGCGGGCTGCACCACCACCCTTCCTGCCTCATACATGGGCCTCAGTCCACCTTCCGGATCTTCTCTGATTGGGTATCAGACAGCTTCCCCACCTTTGCTTGGGCTATTTCTCCTGCCTGAAATTTTCTTTCTGCCTGTTCTTAACCCATCTAGCTTTGCTCTGTCTTCCCCATCTCTTTGGACTCATAAGGAAGCAACAAGATGCATTTAGAGATGTGGCACTTGCTCCCTTGGCAGGGCCTTTTTAGGGGCAGCCCTTGGCCTTTTTCAGCCCCTACAGGGTTGGAGCTTCGAAGGCTACCGCTTCCTGGCCTAGCTCTCTCCATGTTGGTGCTATGGATTCTGGCCCTGAAAGCGTGGTGGTGCTGCCTTCACTTCCAGGCAGCCCTCCTGCCCCTGAGCCCCCAGCCCCCGCTCCTGCCGACCTGAACAAAGCTTCCTTTCATGTATTCATCTAGCTGCTGCCGCTCAGACACTTCCCCCCGGCACAATCAGGCTCTTTGAGGGCCTCCAGCCGATGTGGGAGCAGGGCTGGGGCTGTGGTAGAGAATGGGCCAAGGCCAGGACCTGGGGCCGGGCTGGTGCCATCGCTCCCATACACAATACCAGGCGCAGAGCCCCGAGGGGCGGGAGCCTGGGGGTCAAGGGAGGCAATGCTCCTGGGCTCCTGTTTGTTCTTCTGGGGCCAGCAGTCCCTGCCTCCCCCACACCCAGATGCTGCAGCCAGGGTTTGAGGGCAATAGAGCTCAGGCTTACAGTTCTATACAGGACTGTCTTGGCCCTGGTGCTGCAGCCCCCCATGCTATACCCAGAGTGGCAGCCCTCACCCTCCGTGTTCTCAGAAGTTATGTGTGAGCAGCCCTAGGGGCTACACCTAGACAGTTTTATTTGAGCATTGTGGAGGCTTGCTTCGGCGTAGCTGTCTCATCCCTCCAATTGGATCCCAGGCTAGGGCTGGTCTCCCCCTCAGACCTTGCTCTTCAGGGCCTCTCTCATCAGGCTAGACACCTCAGAGCAGGGTTCTGTCTTCCCCATTAGACTAGACTCCCCAGAGCAGGACTGCAACCCCCAGGCAAGGGCTCCATTAGGGCCTCCTCCACGGCTCCTTTCCAGGGACTAGCGCTACACACTGGCTGTGGCCTTATTGCCTGTGCTGGCTGAGGTGACTGATGGAGTGTTGGGGCTCCTCCCCTTTGGCCTCTGCTGGTGGCGCCCGGAGCGGGGAGGCGGGGGCGGGGAGGGGGAGGTTGTTCAGGTCTCCTTCCCCAACCCAACATCTCCAGATGCAGACACACAGCTTTTCCTGGCCCCTGGCTGGCTAGGGGAGTGGAAGGGGAGCTCAGATTGCTGACAGTCTGGATCGTGGGCTGGGCTCTGGGCTGTGGGATGGTGGCTGCTGCTTAGGCTTTGGGTGAAAGGGGAGCTATGGGAGCTGAGTCAGGAAAAACTTGTGTCTTTAGGCTGCTGACCCCAGCACTCTAATTTTACCACAGCTGGAAAGGAGAGGGAGCTGGGGGTCCTGAGACCTGCCAGCCCTGCCCAAACCTTGGCCGGCACCCCAACCACCACCTAGCACAGAGCTGGGTGCTGGGCCCCTGCCCTGCACAGCTGGTACTGATGGGGAGTGAGGTTCAGGGTACAGGGAGGCTGCTTGGGCTGTTTGTGGTGTGGCTGAGGAGAGCCAGGTAAACCGAGGGCAGTGAGCTCAGCGCTTCTCTGTAGTCCACAGTGCTGACATCTCCCTGAATGCTCCTGAGAACCCATACTCAGTCTGGATGAGCCAGTCTGTCCTACATCCTAGTGTGACCTTGGCTGGTATGTTTCCCAGGGGCCGTCAGTTTCTGCCTTTGCAGTGAACCAGGCCATAGCTGAGGTGGGGTGCAATACCCCATTTCTGGGGTGACTCGGCCATACAGAGATGTAAATTACGGAAAAAGAAATGATGATGTGGATTGCATGGTATATCACATTCCTTGCCCCGTCGAATGCAGAATCAGCAGGAGTGTTTCAAATGGCAGCAAGAGGGCTTTGGGGCAGACTCAGGAAATGGCAGTTCTTTTCTGTCTGGGCTTGAGTGTGTCCTGCTTGGGTGTCACTGCTAAGCTATCTGCCCCTGGGTTTGCTGCAGCCAAGTAAACAATGGTCAGGCCGAGTTCCTGGGTGAGGCTTCGGGATGGTCGGAAGTGTGGGAAGATGGGAGCTGTGGGTGATTGCTGGGGGCAAAGCCACAGGCTGTCCCATCCCTATAATTTAGTACTGCAACCAGGACAACCTCAGCAGTGTCACCGGAGATGAGACATCTTCTCCCTGGAGGCGGTAGCTGCAGACAGTTTCCTTTTTGGGCAAAATTGTGCTGGTCAGCCCTTCTGGTTAAGGACCAGGATGTGCTCTGTGAAGGGCCCTCTGTCCCAGAGTTGCTGCGGAGGGAGGGTAGAACTTTACACCTGGGGCAAGCTTGCACCTCCATGAAACCAGGCCACAGTGGTCCAGGCCACAGCCCAGCTGCAGGCAGGAGCTTAGGCTCAGTTTCAGGGTTTACCACTGACCATGTGGCCTTGTGCTGCCCCCTGTCTGTACTTTTGCTTTCTCATCTGTGAAATGGTTGGGAATAGACATTTAGATTCCTTTCCAGCTCTGATCTAAGTTGACCTTTTGAGGGCCTGGGGTTGAGTCCATAGGAGGGGTTGGAGAGGGTTTCCTGAAGGACGGAATAGGGTTCTGAGCAAAGCGATTCCTGGGAACCTGAACTCTAAGTGGGGTGCTTCGAGACCCTGCTACCTGCAGGGGGTAGAAGTAACTGCTTGCTCTGTCCTGGGCAACAAAGAGCCTCACAGAGCAAAGCCGAAAGACCCTGGTCCCAGCCCCTTAGGAACAACCAAGTGTGTGTGTGTCGAGGGGAGCTCTTCTCCCCAGAGGTCCCTAAATCCTGCTCCTACCCTGAGTTTCGCATATTGTAGGGTAGGGGCCATGGCTTTGGGGTGAGGACAGCTGTTTGCTAGACTCCACCAGGGGACCCCTTTCTTCTCCCGCCTGTAACTCTGAGTCCTGGCAATGCCCTAGCCCAGACCCAAGCTCTAGTTACCAGGCGGTTGCACGTGTGCCTGAGACAGGAGACTTGATCTTTCTGCCTAGGGCCCAGCCTCAAGTTTCTGCCAATTGCCTCCTCCTCAGGCCGCACAGGGAAGGACCAGGTGGAATTTGGCTCAGCAGAGCCGCACACAGTGCTTTTTCACGAGCCAGGCAGCGATTCTGTATGGGTGGGTGGACGCAGCAAGGTCTATCTCGTCAACTTCCCCGAGGGCAAGAACGCCTCTATGCAAACGGTGAGCCCGGGCCCTCCCTCCTGCTTGGCCCCATTTCTCTCCTTATCTCCCCTCTGGTCTTGGTGAGAGAACCTCAACAAATCCGGGGGAGGGAACTGGCATTTCTTCCTAAACTGGTCTTACAAATGGTCCCTGGGGGAAGCTCCTTAAAGGTAGTCCAGATGGACATGGGTGTTGGGCAGTGTGGAGCAAAGCCTGGCCAGGTGGGTAGTGCTGATGGGGGAGGTCTGTGCAGGAAGCTGGGCTCCAGAACCCCGTGGCCCAGGTCTTCTGAGATCTCTGGGCTGGCCCTGAGCTCTGGGCTGGCCCCTGAGCTCTGGGCTTGGCTCCTGGTATCAGGCCGAACAGCCTGTATGATCTCGGGTGAATCACTCACCACCTCAGAGCCCTAGTCACTTACCTAAAATATAAAATGAGCTTGTTCTGAGGGTATATGGAAAGCAATTAGGGGACATCTGGCACCTGGCAGAGTGAACTAATACTTTCCCATCCCACCTTCCCCCATAGGTGAACATTGGTTCCACGAAGGGGTCCTGCACAGACAAGCGGGTGAGTGGGGAGAGGGAATAGAGAGGGGAGGCTGGGCTCCATGGAAAAGGAATGCGAGTCTGAGAGTCTGAAGAAGGAGGCATGGCCCTGCCTTAGGGTACCCAGTTTGAAGGGAGACACAGCCTCTCTGAGGCCCCTGTGTCCTTCCTTTGTTCTTGCGGGGTTATGCCCTCCTTGGAGGCTGCCTCCTATGTTTAGCCTTCTGAATCCTTCCCCAAGACTGAGAGTTCTAGTGCTAGGCCTGCCAGGACCTCCACCCAACCTCTGTTCTTCCCCTTCTTCTGGGCAGGACTGTGAGAACTACATCACGCTCCTGGAGAGACAAGGTGATGGGCTGCTCGTCTGTGGCACCAATGCCCGGCGCCCCAGCTGCTGGAGCCTGGTGAGAAGGCCCCTCCCCATATGCTTGGTCAGCTCGCCCTTGTCTGGGTGGGCTTCTGCCCCCCATAGTTAGAAGGAAGTGGAGCGGACTGGCCTCACCTTGTATAGAATTCCCAGGAGGACAGGGACCCTGGCTGGGAAGCTGGTGCCTATGGCAGGCAGTGATGATAGGATTGCATGGCTGTCTGACCCCCTCGACCTCCCCCAGGTAAATGGCACTGTGGAGTCGCTTGGTGAGAGAAGAGGCTATGCTCCCTTCAGCCCGGATGAGAACTCCCTTGTTCTGTTTGATGGTAGGACTGTGGCTGCCCTGGGCTGGGAGTGGGTGGTCAGCTCCATGTTTGGTGGCCCAGGCCTGGGGAAGGGACTTCAGGAGTTGTCTGCCCTTACCCATGCCCCTCCCACCATGCCCAGGGGACGAGGTATACTCCACAATCCGGAAACAAGAATATAATGGAAAGATCCCACGGTTCCGGCGCATCCAGGGTGAGATCGAGCTGTACACCAGTGATACCGTCATGCAGAGTGAGTAGGCTCCAGCTGGACTGGAGTGAACCCGGGGGTGTGAATGCCCGGGCAGCAGATGGGAGCCTCATGTTCCCTGGGAGGGCTCCCCAAGGGCTGCAGGGGCCACAGGCCAGTCAAGAAAGTGACTGAGAAAGTTGGCCTGGCAAGGAGCAGGGGAACAGCAGAGGCAAAGATGCAGAGACAAGATAGGACTGACATACTCTGGGAACAAAACAGAGGAAGCCCCAGACCCAGTGTAAGGTCCCTTGGAGTCATAATGTATCCCTGCTGAGCTCATGTGGGCGTACAACCCCCTCCCTCCTCATTATGGCTCTGCCAATTAGGCAGAAGTGACATAAAAGCCCCCAGGGACCTTCCCACATAAAGGCCCCCAGGGACCTTCCCCCAGTCCCCAAGCATGAAGTCATTGCTCCTTCGCCAATGACATCTTTGTAGGGGGAGAGCAAAATAGGTATGGGGTAGGGGTACAGAGTTTCAGGCCCTTGGAGTATTGGGCTTGATGTTCTAAGTTTTATTCCAGGTCTGATTTGCCCCAGGTTTGTTTTTGTAGACTCCGAAGGTATGCAGGGTTAGAGAGGGCTCCTCACCCCGAGCAGGCTCCCTGGCCTCACACTAATTCGAATGTGTCCCTGGCAGACCCACAGTTCATTAAGGCCACTATTGTGCACCAAGATCAGGCCTACAATGACAAGATCTACTACTTCTTTCGGGAGGACAACCCTGACAAGAATCCGGAGGCTCCTCTCAACGTGTCCCGGGTGGCCCAGCTGTGCAGGGTAAGTGGATGGCTGAGTAGGATTGAGTGAGCGTGTGAGTGCCTGTGTGTAAATGTGCATGCATGTTTGTGTGAAGTATGTGAAATGTGTGAGTGAGTCTGTATGTGGGATTGTAGGAGTAAATGTGCATGCGCAAGAGTGTCCATGCATCTGTGAGTAGGTAAAGATGGTTAAACTTATGTGCATGCGTGATAGTGTGCAACTATGTGTAGTCATGTGAGAGTGTGTATGAGTATGTGTGCAAATATGAAAGTGTTTACGTGTGTGTTACCAGTGCGAAGGTGCTGGGGTGTGCGAATATGTCACCTGTGTGTGTGTGCACGTGTGAGAGTGGGTAAATGTGTGTCTGAGCCCATCTGCTCTGTGGGGATGGACCCAGAGCCCTCACCCTGCAGGTGCCTACTGCTGGCCCTATGCCCTGGGTCAGCCAGGCCTTATGGCTGGAGCCTGGCCCAGGAACCGGGCCCGAGTCATGGGGCATCTCTACCTGGTCCCCTGGCAGGAACCCGCCTTTTTCAGAGCCTCCCTTCCTTCCCTGAAGCTTGAGTGCTAGCATTCTTGGCAGCAAGTGTGTAGTGAGTGCTGAGGGGCCTCCTTTCCCCACCACTCTTCCAGGGAGACCAGGGTGGTGAGAGTTCGCTGTCCGTCTCCAAGTGGAACACCTTCCTGAAAGCCATGCTGGTGTGCAGCGACCCCACTACCAACAAGAACTTCAACAGGCTGCAGGATGTCTTCCTACTCCCTGACCCTAATGGCCAGTGGAAGGACACTAGGGTCTACGGCATTTTCTCCAACCCCTGGTGAGTGACCCTCATCCTGGGGCTGGGGGCTGACGTTGGTTACATGTCCAGCAGGGATTGGAGGGCTTGGGCCCTGTCAGGGGGCTGGCTGATGTGGCATGAACAGGGACTGCAGGCTCAAGGGCCAGGACCGTTGCTGGGACTGGGGTAGGGGGACAGTCAGTGCTCAGGGAGATGTGTGTGCTGGTGTGTTTGTGAGTTTGTACACATGAGTGTGCATGCATGTATTGTATGCACGCTCATGGCAGTGCCTGTGCTCGCATGTCTACCAGCTGTGTGCTTAGAGTGGGTTCTAGGCCTTGGGAATAAAGCTGCTGAGGCCTCTCAGGGTGCTGCTGGGTGCTATCACACCTGCTCAGGCACTGCCTGCGCCTGATAATTCACACCTCTTAATCACTCTCATTGATTGAAAACAAGGCAGGCAAAAGTGTTGGGTGTGTTTTCGGGGAGTGGAGGTGGGCAGGGTAGGGAACCCAGGACCCTGCTCTGTGGCTTCTGTGTGGATGGATCCAACTGGTCTGGAGAGAGACCAGGGTCTGGCCTCCTTGGGTATCAGCATCCTGCAGCTGTGCCCAGAGAGGTAGGAGGATTGCACATAGGGGACCCCCTCTGGTCCTGGGGCTGGCCTCCGAACTCAGTGATCTTATGGCAGAACACAGGTTGTGGTTTTAGACTGCAACAGAAAGAAATTAGGTTGAACTTTTTTCCCTCCCTCTTGCCTGCAACGGTGTTTGGCGATTCTTATTTTAGACGCTGGACTTGGTCCCAGGATTGTCCCTGCCTTCATGGATCTCACAGGCCGGGAAGCTTGGTTAGAAGGCTGTAGTAGTGCTCTGTATGGTGCTGGGCTGGCCTGGGTGAGTAGAGGTGGGCGGGTCCTGGGCCTCCCACTGAAATGGTTTCTGTGATCCCCCAGGAACTACTCGGCTGTCTGTGTATATTCCCTTGGTGACATTGACAAGGTCTTCCGCACTTCCTCGCTCAAGGGCTACCACACAGGCCTTCCCAACCCTCGGCCTGGCAAGGTAAGCAGTGACACCTGCCATGACCCAGGCCCTGCCCTCCTCTGACCTAACTCCCCAGCCACCCACTGACTTGGGCCTGCTCTCCTTGTTCAGTGCCTCCCAGACCGGCAGCCGATACCCACGGAGACCTTCCAGGTGGCCGACAGTCACCCTGAGGTGGCACAGAGGGTGGAACCCATGGGGCCTCTGAAGACTCCACTGTTTCACTCTAAGTACCACTACCAGAAAGTAGTTGTCCACCGCATGAAGTCCAGCCACGGGGAGATCTTCCATGTGCTTTACCTAACCACAGGTGAGGGACTACCCTGTGACCAGCACCGCCCATATGCTTTGTAAAAATGGATATGAAAGGTATAAAGAATAATGTAATTAACATCTGGTTGGATCTTTATACCTGGAAGGAAGAATTAAGTGACTAAGAGCTGTCAGGGGTTAGTTCGGCTGTGAAAGAGTCAGGCAGAGAGGGCTTCCTGGAGGAGGTGGGGACAGAGGGAAGTGGGGAAGGCATCCTAGGATGGGAGAAGAACAGGTGCCAGGATTCAGAGGCAGAAATGTGATGAGTCTGAGCAAAGTTAGGTGCAGCTTTGGTCCAGATGTCGGACTCATGAGCAGGAAGAGATGTGGAAGGTCAAGAGGAAGGATCTGGTTACTGGGTGTCCTTTGGACCTCTGCCAGGTGAGAGGAAACATTCAATGTGATATGCAAAGAATTTAGTGAGATACGAGGAAGGACTTGTAGAGGGCAAAGCTTTTGCAGAGTCTTGCAGAAGACTGCAGGGACTCCTCCTCTACAGGAGGCTTCTCTGGGGAAGCAGGGTCTCGCTGACCCCAGAAGCTGAGTAGAACCCTGGGGAATGCCCCTGCATTCCCGGAAGCCACTGCATGGACACACCAGCCCTGAGCTGGGTTTACAGCAGCTTCCTGGCTCCAGCTATGGACAAAGGGGGCTCCTAGGAACGAATGTATTGGTCAGTGTAGCTGCAGATTTTCCTTGAGACCAGGCAGTGGTGCCATCAGAAAGGGTAGTGTCTCCCCCAGGTGCCTAGCACCTCTGGGGCCACACAGTCCAGGCCTCAGGTAGCCACCCCTCCCCCCATGTGACTTCCTGCTGTTGCTTCATTTTGGGGTTATCTCAGGGCCACGGTGGCCTCGCCAGTTTCCCTGGAGCAGGGCCTGATTTCTGGGTCCTGAGACCACACCTCCTTATTCCTCCATTCATCCTGGCTGCACCCATGGGCCCCTGTCCTTGCTCTGCTCCAGCAGTGGCTGGACTAGCAGTTGCAGTCAGCCAGGGGACAGCAGGGCACTGGGGTGCAGGAGAGGAGAGGTCATACGATGGGGGACTGGGAGCAGTAGTCAGGATAGGAAGGCTGAGGAAGCTGTGGGCTCTCTTCCTGCAGACCTGGGAGGCAAGAACACTTGAGTGACGAGGGCAGTTGTCTTTTTCTCCCTGAGGGCCATTAGAGAGACCCCATGTGGGAGCCTGAAGCAAGAAGAATTGGGGCTGGATAAGAAATAGAGCTTTCTGAGCCCTCTGCAGAGAATGGGAGGCTCTCACAACTGGGAGAAGCAATGGGAGGCTGTCACCATGCTGCTATGGAAGGAGGTGAAAAGAATGTGACTGGGCTGGGAGCTTGTCAGGCCAAAGAAGCATCGGACCACATTCCAGTACCTGCGAGGGCAGTCACAGAACCAAAGGAAATGTCCTAGGCAGGCAACCATCCCATTATCTGACTGTTATTTTGGGGCAAGTGATGCCCTGAGGAATTGGGAGGGTGGGAGAAGGAGGTAAGCTATTTTGGAAACTGGGACAGCAAGTTAGGTGGGATTGGGAGGACCCAGGGGTCAGGATACCCATTAGTTCCCAACAGGTGTTGATGGAGAGAGCACTGACCTTGAAATCAGGCAGCCTCGTATGTGACTTTGGGAATCCGTATGTGGAATCTAAGGTCTTTTTCAGATTGAAGATGTTATAAAAATTTAAAAATCCCCTAAGATTAAATACAATGTGGAGTCCTGAATTGGATTCTGGAACAGACAAAGAACACTAGTGGAAAAACCCGTGAAACCCCAGTAAAGTCTGTAGTTGAGTTAATAGTACTGTACTGCTCAGTTGTGAAAAATGTGCCAGTTACATAAGATGGTAACAGTAGAGAAAGCTGGGTGAAGGGTATACAAGAACTCTGCTATCTTTGCTTTTTTTTTTTTTCGTAAATCTGAAATTATTCCAAAATAAAAAGTTTATTTGAAGAAAACATGTCCCCAAAGAGCCCAGGAGGCTGGGAAGTTATGGAAGAAGCTGAGGGAGGGGTGGGGTTCTGACATCTCTGGGTTGCAGTCACCAGCTGTGTGACCTTGAACAATTGCTTAGCCTTTCTGAACCTCATTTCCTTATCTGTGAAGTGGGGAAGATAATACCCACGACCAGGAGTGTGGAGGATTGAACGAGGTAATGCTAATACGTGTAGTGGGTTTAGCACAGTACTTGGGCATGCAGGACTGCTGCTTCCGTTGCTCATGATCGAGCTTCCCCTGTGGAGCCCTGGTCTAATCTTGGAAACTTTCTGGGCTGCCCTCCGGCTCCCATATTCCTCCCAGTCATGCTTTCCGTGTCACACCTCACCTCATCCTGTGACCTTCGCCTGGCTATGACTTCCCAGCACTCCCCCACCCATGCCTTTCCTGGGCAGTCCAACCCAGAGGGAAGCTGCCTGGCCTGGAGATGGGACTCTTGCTCTCTAACCCTCTGCTCACCCCCCACAGACAGGGGCACCATCCACAAGGTGGTGGAGTCGGGGGAGCGGGAACACAGCCTCATCAACATCATAGAGATCCAACCCTTCCGCCATGCGACCACCATCCAGGCCATGTCACTGGACGCTGACCGGGTGAGCCTCCCCACCCCCACCCCTGCCCCTGTGGGGCTACCCAGTGATGGCCAGCTGAGGACAGAGCTTCATTGCATGTGATTTGCATGTCATTTTCAGAGCCTCTGGGCCCCGGGCCTACCAGGTAGACGGCCTTGGCCTGGGGGTTTAGGACTCAGTGTTGACGGTGAGGCCCTGGCCTGACCTAGTTCTTTTCTCCTTCAAGCGGAAACTGTATGTGAGCTCCCAGTGGGAGGTGAGCCAGGTACCCTTGGACCTGTGTGATGTCTATGGTGGGGGCTGCCACGGCTGCCTCATGGCTCGAGACCCTTACTGTGGCTGGGACCAGGGCCACTGTGTTTCCATCTACAGCCCCCATAGGTATGTTGGCCATGATCCCGATCCCTGGGAGAGGGTGGACACAGGAGTAAGGTAGACATGGGGGATGTGGACGGACTGCAGAAGGTGTCGGTGCTGGGCCATTCTGGCCAGACCTTCCTCTAGGTGAACACCTTGGCAGATACTGGGGTGGGGATAAGGACAGAGAAGGGCCAGGTGGCTTGCTGTCTACTTAGCCTCTCTCCTTTCAACTTCAGGTCAGTGTTGCAGTCCATTAATCCAGAAGAGCCACACAAAGAGTGCCCCAACCCAAAGCCAGGTACCTGATCTGGCCCTGCCTGGGGCCTAGTCCAGTGAGGGTGGTACAGCCACGCCCTCATTGCCCTGTCTGAGAAAAACGTGGTCTAGTCCTGAGAGCCCCATGCAGATGGGGCAGGACAGTCCTGTGGAGGGAGCCCCCTTGCTGTGGGGGTGGTTGTGAGAATGGTCGGTGAGGGAGGCAGGGGAGAGAAAAGAGACTGGGCCCTTGTTTCCCTGTGTTCATTTAGAAGCCTTGGCCTTGGAGGCCTGGTCAGTAGGGGAGGACACAGCCTGTCCTGGGAGCCCTAGGCCCCTCCTCACGTCTGCCTTCCCATCCCCTCCAGAGGAGGCCCCACTGCAGAAAGTCTCCCTGGCCAAGAACTCACGCTACTACCTGAGTTGCCCCATGGAGTCCCGCCACGCCACCTACAGGTGGCGCCATGGGGAGAAGGTGGAGCAGAGCTGCGAGCCAGGTCACCAGAGTCCCAACTGCATCCTGTTCATCGAGAACCTCACGGACGGCCACTATGGCCACTACTACTGCGAGGGCCAGGAGGGGTCCTACCTCCACAAGGCTCAGCACTGGCAGTTGCTGTCTGAGGATGAAGCCAAGGCTGAGCATCTGCTGGGCCGAGCCCAGGCCCTTGTGGCCCTCCTCTGGCTGGGGGTCCTGCCCACACTCGTTCTTGGCCTGCTGGTCCATTAGGGCCTCCTGGGGCCGGGCATGCTGCATTCTTCCGCAGCCCCAGAGCACTAGAAAAGTCACACCCAGAGCTGCCCTGCCCAGGAGCTCCTTGCCTGCCACTGCTTCCAGGGGGACTGCGTAGCCCGATGGGGAACACCAGGCCTGGAGATGGCCAGCAGCAGGCAGCTGCTGGGCCCAGGTGGGGCGTGGGCGGTGGGGTCTGGAGAATGAAGGAGCCGACTGTGAAGCTGGGACATCGATGGTGCAAGACTTTATCTTCTGGAGACTATTTTTCAAGAACTCAAACTGGACCAAATGTAGTGATGTTCTTGGCCTAAGAGCCTGTGGGCCAGAAAGGGGTTGGGAAAAGTGAGCTGGAACCTCGTCTCTGGACCTTTGAGCTGAGGCCTGAGTCCTTTTGGATTCTCTGTACCCAAATTGCCCCCTCATCTTCCTTCCTGCCATGGCCAGGGGTGGCTGGTGTTCCCGCAGGCCCAGGGCTGCCCTCTGTGGCCCCCTTGCCAGCTCTGGGTCCCACTAAGGCAGCCTCTTTGCATGTTTATTGAAGGATGTTTGCTTTCCGGACGGAAGGACGGAAAAAGCTCTATTTTTATGTTAGGCTTATTTCATGTATAGCTACTTCCGATTGCATCTGTATGAAAATACCAAAACTACATGCTGGGGGTGGGGTGGGAGAGGGAGGGGCTGGGAAGGAATGGGTTATGGGGGGTCCCAGTGTGAGGCTCCTGGAATGAGATAAGAGTCCAGGGACGTGGTGGCATGGGTTTGAGGAGATGGCATGAGCTGGCTCTGCCCCGGGAGCCCAGGCTGAGGGGGATGTTGTCTAAGCCCCTGGTTCGGGGGTGGTTATGGGAGGGGGTGGGTGAGGGAGACAGGGGAGAATGAAGGATAAAACTGAGCCCTAGGTTCACACGTTCATTTAGAAGGAGTCAGGTCCTCAGGGGGAGGTTCCAGGACTCTGCCCTTGGTATTGGGGGTTGGGGGGTGGGGGGGCCCTCCCCTCCCCTCAGCCCTCTTCCCCAGGGGCTGTGCTTCCATGCTCCTAGCCTCCCACCTTCAGCTCAGGACATGCTATAACTTAGGCTAAACTGTGAATTCTGGTGGGGACAGCCTGGGCCAAGCTCTCTAGGTGGGTGGCTCTGTCCCAACCCTGTCCATGTATTTCAGCAGAGAGCTGGGCCTTCTCTGCCATGTTTGGCCAGCCCAGGGCAGGGCCTAGGGCCTGTGGCCTTCCAGCTTTGGCCCCTGCATCTCTTCTCAATGCACTTTAATGATGTAACATATTACTAATAAACAAGCTATTTATTTACCTGTGCTTGCTCCTTCCCTTCAAAGCCATTCTTGTCCGGGGGTGAGGGTGAGGGCTCCTGTTTATGACTGTACTTCCTGCCTCTGAACATCACATACCCTCTCACTGGTCCTTTCCTTAGGGCCTTGGAGGGGTGGACACGCTCGGCAGGGGTTCCAGCTAGTGAGAGGCAGGAACGGGATCTGAACCCATAGCTCCTGAGCAGTGCAATGCCTACCACGCCGTTAACCTTGGTGCCCAGACAGCTCCTGTACCCCACATCCTCTCCTCATCTCAGGAGCTGGCCTTTCCCCCTTCCCAGCCTCCACCTCCCATACTTAGCCAGAGGCTTGGCCTGGCCATGCCAGACACAGCTTCAGGCCTTCCTGCCTCGAGGGGCCCCTTCTGAGGGGAGAGCTAATCAAATATGACCTCATGGGATAAACCTGTGGTGATAAAAGTACGTGTGCAAGAGGCTAGAGGACTGCAAGAGGCAGTGCCTGAGTGGGGGTGAGGTACTTATTCCAGGCAGGGCAAGGGGTCAGTCTGCATGCAGAGGGCACAATGGGGCAGGGTTTTGTGCTAGTCTGGAGTTTGGCCTTTCAACCCCAGGACAGTGAGAGGGCTGGGGTGGGATTTGTGCCTTAGAAACTCTTGAATTCCCTCAAAGATAAAGCAAATAGATTTTAGAACCCAGAAGGATATGTGAAAAGGAGCTTATGAGGCTGGGATGGGATGTGGGGAGAGGAGTTAGAGACTGTTCATGACTAGGAGTAAAGGGGGGGCCAGATGTCTCCCAGATACCTCCCGCCATCTTCTCCCCTCTCCTTTCTTCCCTTCTCGCCAGCCCCTTGCAGCAGGGACTGCTGGAGAGGGAAATGTGGCAGTGGAATTTGGGACAGCACCCTCTCTGAGTCTAAGCTCGGCTTCTGGGCAGCTCTAGCAGATGCCACAGAGCTGGAATAGGCCCAACCCACCACACTCTCCTTTAGTTTGCCCTGTGTTCTCCTGGGCCAGCCCTGTGCCAAAGATTCTGCCTGGTTCTTTCCTCTCTCACACCCACCTTTCCTAAGGTGACCAAGGTGGCAGCAGGTGCTCAGGCCAGGAGTCTTGGAGTTTGGGGGACCCAGGCGAGCTCTGGGCTGGGGGCAATTACCTTTTATGATCCTGGGCAGACCTCGCCTCTTCTGAACCTCATTCCCATGTGTAGGAAGAAGGAGCTAGACCAGGGCTTCTGGGGGGCCCCTTCTGGCACACTTTTCTGGGTTCTAAGACAAATTTACTTTGTCTTAGAAGGAGCTCAGAGTCGCTGTCTTGGACCCATCTCTCTGTTTTCCTGGTTCATAGCCAAGCAGCAGCAGCAGCAGCAGCACAGGGGCTTGCCAGGCTCCCCCCACCCCAGTGAGCCCCTCGAAAAGGAAAGGGCAGAAGAAGTGGGATCCAGGAATGGCTAGTGGAGAAAATGTGGGCTCAAGCCCTGGCCCACCTAAATTGCTGGGTAATCTCCTCTGAGGTCCCTGCCTTCTCTGGGCTTCGGCAGGCCTCTTTCCTGTGGGGCTCTTCTTGGTGTCCTATGGGCCTTTAGCAGGGGACTTGAGAGACGGAACACACTCCTTTGTGTCAATGGAGGCACCAGGAGAAGCTGGGCAGGCAGAAGGGCAGGCGGGCAGATGGGAAGCCATGTGCATGGAGGCATAAAATGATCTGTGTAAATCCATGTAAATGAGTCCGCACGGAGGGGCAGGCGGGGCACAAGCCTCCTCTCCGATTTTCCTCTGATGGACAAGCAGCACAACAGGCCTTGGGCAGCAGCGACTGTAGGACCATTAGGCTGAACCCCAGGGGCATGGAGATCCACACAATATGGCACCAACATGGGCTTCTAGGAAGCCAGGCTGGGGCCAGGGTGGGCCCAGCCTTCTGCCCTCTGTCTTGTGCATCTACCTGCAACACCCACCCAAGGAAGGAGTAAGGATGTAAAAGAAGGAGCAAGACTGTGAAAAACCAAAGCTTGGAATTCCTGGGGAAGCCAGCAGGGAATGGGAAACCCTTTACGTCTCCTTCCCCTTCATAAACCTAAAGGGCCACTAAGGTTTACCCCGGTAGGTCGACATTCCACCATCCTATCTCCCTTGGGGGAAAGCTGCTGCCTTCTCTCTCTCTCCTCTGTGTGAAACCTGTGAACAGCTCCCTCTACTTGCAGACCTGATGTCCTGACCCAGCACGGACAGCCTTGCACATCCCTGTCTTCTCTATCCTGTCTCCTTCAGTCCTCTGCCCACCTTTGCTGGAGACACTGTGCCATTGCTTCTGTCACATTTTTCCACTGGAATGCCAGGAGTAGGAGGTTCCAGAATACCGAGTTCTTCAGAGGAGTCCTGATACTTCTGCCCACCCACCATGTCTCTCCTGTTCAGTCCTGAGCTGGGGGAGGCGCGGGGGTGGGGGGGGATGGAGCTTTAGGGCTGGTGCACCTGGAATCAGGTTCTTGGGTCTTGGCAAGAGAAGGCACAGCCCCTGCCATCAAGACCCTCACAGCCTTCTAGGGGAGGCAGATATGGGGCTGGGTGGCAACCATCTGTGTGATTATCCTAGGTGGGAAGGTACCTGACCCATTGTGGAGGGCAGAGAACACTTTGGTGGGCCTTAGAGGATGAGTAGAAATCCCCCAGGTCACTGAAAAATAGAAGAGGAAACAGCATTTGCCAGGGCCCGGGGTTGTGCAAGGGCCTGGGATGTTATGGGCTTGACTGTCAGCTCCAGGAAGGCAGAGAGACTTGTCAATTTTGGTTGCAGCGGCATCTCTAGCACCGAGAACAGTGCCTGCAATACATTCTTGTTGAAGAAATAAGATGAAAGAGGGGAGAGTATCTAGAAGTGAGATTGAATGAGTCTGTCTGTGCCAGCTCCTGGGAGCTGAGACCCTAGATCTTCATCCTGAAGATTATACAAAGCCATTGAAGAGTTTTGAGCAGGGGTGGGTGGATGGTGATGATGAAAATAATAAGGAGAATGAGGTCCGAGATCTAGTTTTTCTCATACCTCATCCTTGACTGCCACATTCCAAGTTCACCCCTACATCTACAAGCATTTCCTGTTGCCTGCACAACCCAATTTTATTTAGCCTTATTGTCTGGGCTGGGCCATCCCAGCAAGGATTCTGGCCAGGAGGCCTGAGGATGTGGGTTGGTGGAATGGAGCTGGAATGGCTAATTTAGGCTCAGGAAACATTTTTATGTTGGTATGGGTTAAAAAACAACAACAACAACAACAGACAACCACAATCCCAGGGTGAAGGGAAAAACACAGGACCAAACCAAGGAGGCACTTGCTTTGTTAGCATGCTGGTGGCTTTCTGGAGAATGGTACCCATACCAGAACTGCTGGACCCACACCTGAAGTCATACCAGCTCCTGGGAGCTGAGACCCTAGATCTTCATCCTGAAGATTATACAAAGCCATTGAAGAGTTTTGAGCAGGGGTGGGTGGATGGTGATGATGAAAATAATAAGGAGAATGAGGTCCGAGATCTAGTTTTTCTCATACCTCATCCTTGACTGCCACATTCCAAGTTCACCCCTACATCTACAAGCATTTCCTGTTGCCTGCACAACCCAATTTTATTTAGCCTTATTGTCTGGGCTGGGCCATCCCAGCAAGGATTCTGGCCAGGAGGCCTGAGGATGTGGGTTGGTGGAATGGAGCTGGAATGGCTAATTTAGGCTCAGGAAACATTTTTATGTTGGTATGGGTTAAAAAACAACAACAACAACAACAACAGACAACCACAATCCCAGGGTGAAGGGAAAAACACAGGACCAAACCAAGGAGGCACTTGCTTTGTTAGCATGCTGGTGACTTTCTGGAGAATGGTACCCATACCAGAACTGCTGGACCCACACCTGAAGTCATAGTGGCAGTTTTCATGAAGGGCTTAGGTAGAAATGAATACAAGCTTAGAGTTGGGCCTATAACACGTGGGCAAACACATGGCCTACGACTCTATCCAGATCCAGACCTGCCTACGAGGATAGCAAACATCACTAATCAATTGTGCATTCTTTCTCCTGAGCTCAGGTGAGTGATTTCCTATAGAACTGCATTCTCCAAAGGCTACAGAGCACTTGAAATGTGGCTCATCCGAAGTGAGATGTGCTATAATACTGGATTTTGAAGACATAATATAAGACAAAGAATTTATCTTATTAATAAATTGCTATATTGATTACAGGTGGAAATGAAAATGTTTTGGATATATTGGATTAAATAACCTATATTGAAAAAGTTAATCTCACTTGTTTCTTTTCACTTCTATTTAATGTGACTACTAGAAAATTTAAAATTATCTGTGTAGCTCATATTTTCATTGGCCAGCACTGCTGTAAAAATCCATTCCACAAAGGCAGAGAATTTAGTCTTTTTTGTTCACAGCTAAATCTCCAGCACCTAAATAGTGCCTGGCACATAGTAAGTGCTCAATAATTATTTGTGGAGTGAATGGATGAATCTTCATCAACACCACTCTTCAGGGAGCCTCCACCTGGTAGAGTACAATTGGTCAAATGTGCTGTATTTGCTACCTTGAGCCTATGCAGTAGCTCCAGCTTGGCTACAATCCCCCCATATGTGCTTTCTGATTTTAGAGCTGATTCACCCTCTTGGGACTCTCCTGATACCCAGGAGGGGCAGCTGAAAGTGGACTTGGGTGAATGCCCTGCTCCCTTGAGGATCCTCTGAAAGGAAACTTTCTGTTCCTTCTGATGAGGAAGAAGGGCAAAATGCAAATGATATGGAAATGACCTCTCTTTGACGTTTGCATGTCTGTGGCTATTGGGGATGTTTCCTGTTAAAGTCCTGATACCAGGCCCTGGTCCCTAGGGACAAAAGAGGAATCTCTGGAGACCCTGAGCTCCAAGGGGAACCAAGGCCACGTTAGTCTTTCCCCAGTCAGCAAGGGCTGTAGCCTGGAGCATCCTTGTCTCTCCCATCCAGCAGGAGCCTAAAAATAGTCTGCAGTTCCA